AATTGGAATTTCTGGTAAGTTCTAAAGTGATTCTGATACAGCTTGTGCAGGCATCATACTTTGAGAACTACTGTATTGCTCTAGAGGAAACAAGGTATTTTCTTGTCATAATCTACCTTGAATTTTTTTATACAGTTTCATATGCAATGTAAGGAACTTAGAGCAGAATAGGAAAATTATACTTGCATTTCATCCTGTTCTTAGTGTATGAAGAAAAATAGTTTTTGTATATGTATTTCTGGCAGTTATGCTGTATGTATTTATTTAATTTCTCTCTTGGCAGAACTGGTGCTAGAACTCAAGGCCTTAGGCTTGCTGGGCAGACACTCTATCACCATGTCCCTAGTCCTTTTTGCTTCGATTGTTTTTGAGATGGGGTCTGGTGTTTGTTCCTTAGGCTGCCTTGGCCTGTGATTCTCCCCCTTATGCTCCTGACCTAGGACGACAGGTGCATGCCACCCCACCTAGCATTTTAGTGATTGAGGTGGGATCTTTTGAACTGTTTATACCAGGGCTTCCCTAGAATCATAATTCTCTTGTTCTCTGCCTCCCAAGTAGCTAGGATTAGACATGTGAGTCTGTAGGTGCGTATTTGTTATTTTGGTGTGAAGTGGTTGTTTGACATTTAAATGATTTAAGGGACAAATTTTCTTTAAAGATTACCATTTATTTACTATTTTCCATTTTCATCCTTTCTGTATGTCCAAATTTCTTTTTGGCATCCGTTTTTTTAAGCATGACTAACTCTTTTACCATAAACTCTGCTAGCAATAAATTATTTATCCAAAAATGACTTTATTTTAGTTTTAAGAAATGAAGTTTCTTAGAACTTTATTAGACAGAGAACTGTAGGTTGGCAGTCTTTAAATATACTACACTCTTTCTGGTCTCAGTTGTTTTTGAAAAATGGTTTTGATAAAAATGTGTCCTTGATGAAAATTATTCTTTGATAAATTTTATCCTTGATTCCCCTCCTGTAATATAATTCTCCCCATTGTGTGTAACTACTTCTAAGAATTGTTTCTTTTTATTGTAGAAACTGTGCCATAGTTGTCTTTGCATGTATCTGTCTTTTGGCATTTACCAAAAAACGTTTGGGAGCGTTCCTATGTTATTCTGACCTTCAGCTTCTGCCAGCCTTAAGCCATTTCTGATACCCTCAGACCTTCCACCCACACTTTGGGTGGGCAGATTATTATTAGGCCAGGCAGTTCTGTTATCACTAGAAATAAAAATCGTTCTCACAATGGACACGTAACTTAAATGGTAATTTTTCTTCTTCTTTAATCTCTAGAATTTCTTTTTTTAATTGTAAAGGGGATATACAGATGGCTTACAGTTACATACGTAAGGAAATGAGTACAATTCTTGTTAAACATTATTACCTCCTCCCTCATTTTTTCCTGCTATCCCTCCCCTCAGCCCCCTTTTCCTCAAGTTGTAAAGTTCATTTCCAACATAGTGTCTTATGAGTATTGCTGTTGCATTGGTTCACCCTTTGTCCTGTGTCTCACCATTTCTGTGATTTCCCTTTCCTTCCCCAAATCAGATAAACTTGAATACAATACAAAGGGTACTGAAATCCAAACAGTGACAACAGGGTAAACCCAAGGGGAGAAATGAAAGAAAAAAGAAAGAACTGCATAAAATACACTAAGGGGGGGGGGGAACCTCTGGTTTCCATGTCTTGTAGTTCATTTCCATTAACATCATTTTATAAGGTCATACATAGCTATTGAGCTATCTGTGATCCTCTGCTAGGACTATCCTAGATATATACTAATGATTACAAATGAGGGAAACCAGGCAGCCTATGTTTCTGGCTTACTTTACTTAATATGACTTTTTTCTAGTCCTCTATTTCCTTACAAATGGGGCATGCCGTTCTTTCTGAGGGAAGCATAGAATTCCATTGTGTATATATACCATATTTTATTGATCCATTCATCCACAGAGGGGCATCTGGGTTGATACCATGTCTTGGTTATGGTGAACAATGTTGCAATGAACATGGTTGTGAGGTAGCTTTTGTGTGGCCTTCTTTGTGGTCATTTGGGTAAATGCTCAGCAGTGGAATTATAGACTCTTAATAGTGTCGCCTACTGCTGTTTATCTGATCTCCTCCACAACCTAAAGCTCCAACCTGACTTTTTGCAAGCCAGGATCTGCAGTGATCTCCCCAAGTCAACTGAAGGAAATCTAACTTCCTCAGCTTGTCTTTCAAGGCTTGTCAATCACAGCTACCTGGTCACAGACTTCTGGTTATATACCCTGTGGTTGGTATTTTGTAGAAAATCATTTACCCTCCACAGTCTAAACTGTAGCTTACTCTGGATTAGCTCTTTTAGAGCTGAGAGAGCACAGTGTTTAAAAAGAATGTTGTCAGAAATTCTTCTTCTAGATGTATCTCATTTTTTGTTGCATCTGTTGTTTTGTTATTGTTTTAATTTGGGTGAAGGAATGAGGCACACATTAAACATTTATGTAGGTGAATTTAAATATTTAATATTTAAGCCACTAAAACCACACTGGTAGAACTGATGGACTGTTTGTACCACTGTGCGGTTGTTAAAGTAACATAGAATTTTCTAAAGGTCTTCATTATAGAAATGATACTAATAGAACAACCTCAGCTTTCAGAATTGTCCATTTTCGAACACTCAGAGAAGAAGAACTTCCAGTGTATATATCAGACAGTGACTTCACCCATTCTTGGATGTCTACAATCTCAGATGTGGTTACATGTCTTACCAACTCACAGAAATGGAAAGAGCTCCACATCAGACCAGCCCCTTCTACAGATGTTTCATGCTACCGTGCACCTACGAGGCTCCCCATAAATACGAGTAAAAAAATTATTATGCCTACTGACTTCTGTGGACTTTAAAGTTACTCTGTGCATAGGAAGTTATAGAAGATACCTGAAGTTGGGTGTCCATCTCATGCGTCAAGAGGTACATAGTGCCAATTGCCGGTGGCACTTTGGCCTGAGAAAGTATGTTTTCTCAAAAGAATGTTCCTTTTTATTTCCAAAGACTGTCAGACCACCAGTACATTTGATTGAGCATCCCTCTGTGGAAAACCCTCTAGCCTTGATGTACAGTGATAGTATTGAGCTTTGGGACTCATACTTGATCACTACAGTTCTGGGAAGTCCCTTTACCAGTTCTAGCATGCATTTCTTCTTGTGAAGACAGCAAGCAGAATCATTTCCTTGCCCCTGTGGTAGGATTCTTCTACGGCTTCATCTTGAGAATATATCTAGGATCTGACCAGGTCTCACACCATCCCAATGCCCCAGCCACTATCCCCTTCTCCTAGATGACAGTAATCACCTCCATATCTCATCTCAAACTGTTCTGTCCCTAGGCCACTGCAGTGAGTTTTTGACAGAGCAGCCAGCATGATCCATCTAGTCCAGTAGCTTCTCCTCTTGCTTAGAATGTTACCTGAAGTCATTGGCTATGACCCGTCAGGCCCTAAAGTCTGTAAGCTCTGGGGCCTTATCTCCCTTCATTCATCCTGCATTTTTTTCTGTTCATTCACACAACCGGCCTTGCTGTCTCCTGACATGTCCAGTCCCTCCATCCCGCACACTCCTTACCGCTCACTGATTGACTTCTCCCTCCCTCTGGAATATCTGCCTCTCCAGAGGTCCCACAGTTAGACCAAAGGGTCATGACACGTTTATTTAAAAACCATCTTCCTGGGGCTGGGAAGGTGGCTCAGTGGTAGAGCACTTGCCTGCATGCATGAGGCTCTGGGTTCGATTCCTCAGCACCACGTAAGCAAAAAGAGAAAAGCCGGAAGTGGCGCTGTGGCTCAAGTGGTAGAGCACTAGCCTTGAGCTGAAGAGCTGAGGGACAGCGCCCAGGCCCAGAGTTCAGGCCCCACGACCGGACCCCTCCAAAAAAAATCTTCTGTGAGGCCTTCCTCATGCATGCTAGAATTCCAACCCCTCATGGTGAATCTCCTTCCCCTCATTTTCCTCCCCACACTTGGTGCTGTCTAACCAGTTACACATTTCTCTGAGGACCTCTTGTGCACACGTCGCTCCCAGTTTGAGAGAGACTGTCACCTGCCTTGTTCATTCTCCCATCCGCAGTATTTACACCACTGTCTGGTACCTGATGGGTATTTAGTAAGGTTGTTGTTGGGTTTTAGCACAATAATGAATGATACAGCTAAGCTACCATTGTGTAGTCTACCAGTAGATGCTACTCTGTAAGCCTGGACTTCCACATCTGATCTGTGTTTCATTCCAGATGGGTTTATAGAATGAGAGAATTAAAGATGTCCAAATGTACAATTCGAAAATGTTCCCAATGGAACAACCCAGTGTGGGTGATGGGCAGGCATGGAAAGTTAAGGGCTATACCAGGGCTTGTGATTGGATAGGATTGGTCCTGTGGTGATGTCTGAAGGAAATTTGCACCATTGCCTGAATCCATGTAGCAAACATAGTCAAGGAAAGGGCTCTTGGGATTTTTTGGGGGGGAAGTAGGAGGTTATGTTTGTCTTGGGACTTGTTGTTTGTTTTTGTTTGTGGGTAGGGGGGTTGCATGCCAGTACTGGGGCACCTTGAGCTTTAAAAGCTCATGGCTGATACATTATCATGTGTACTGTACCTCTAGTTCTATTGCTAATTAACTAGAGGTATTAGTCTCTCCATGTTATCTGCTCAGGCTGGCTTTGAACTAAGATCCTCAGAACTCAGCCTCACAAATAGTTAGAATTACAGACATGAGCCACTGGCACAGCTGGAAAGTGCTCTTTGTGCTCAGAAATTAATATATTGTCATACTTCGTAAAACTGCAGCTGCAGCTACATTAAGCCAATCATCGCCATCCATAATATTATCAACCATATTTGTCTTTGACTGTTTTCAAGAAGAACTTCAAGACCAGGAGATAGCTTCATATTCTGATTATGTGTATTAACATTTCATAATAGTGGGAAAGTCATTGTTTTGACAATTGTTTTTCATTATTAAATCTAGGGCAACACAACTATTTATGTGCCGGGAGAAATGATTGTATCATTGATAAGATTCGAAGAAAGAACTGTCCTGCCTGCAGACTTCAGAAATGTCTTCAAGCTGGCATGAACTTAGGAGGTAAGCTTTGTGGTTTTACTCTGCTCAACATAACTAACACATAGTATCATCTCACTAGCATTACTTACTCCCAAAACTGATGATGAGTCAAGCATGGAACGAAGTTTCTAAATATCTAGTAACATGTATTCATCCCAAAACATACGAGGAAGCTGAAGGCATAGCTCAGCCATGGAGTATCTGCCTAGCAAGCACAAGGCCCGAGTTCAAACCCCAGTACCAAATAATAAATAAATAATACGTACATACATACATGGATAGGATGTCTTAGCTTAAATTAAAAGGAGGTATGTTGTACATCTGTAACCCTAAGTGACCTTCTCAAGCCTGAGTTGCTAAGTTTCTGGAATTGGCAATAAAAACTAAAACCCAAACAAAAATGATCAATTGATTTTTTTTCCCTCCATAAAACCATAGCTAACACTTTTCTGCATCTGTTTAGAAATAATATGTGTGATAGCACTGGCATGTATTGATACATTCCTAATTCCAAAAAAGTGACAAAAATTTCAAAATAATATAAAAGTTTATGAAAAGGTAGAAAGCTAGAACCTAATGCAAAAATGTACAGTGTTCATGGATAGAAAGAATCAACCTCCTAAAGATATAAGCTAAAGATAGATTAACTTGTAAGTATAGCATAATTGTAAAGGAAATAATAATTGATGATTTGGAGTTCCTAAAGGGCATCAAGAAAAGTCTAGGAAAGACAGTTTGGAGAATTAGCCCTACTAGGTAGTAAAATATATTACACCACTATTATAATTAAAATAGTTTGTAGTATATGTTTCTTGATTGTCAGACAGATCAACAGGAAGTCCAGAATAAATATATAATAAAGTTTGGTACTTCAGATCAGAGGAGCAAAGATAAGTTATTCAGTAAAAAGTTTGTAACAGCTGTACAACCATCTGGATAAGAATGTTGAGTCTAAACTCTAGTCACTGTACAACAAAATAAGTTCTGGTGCTTGAGAGATTTAAACTTTGAAAAATAATCACAAAAGCACTAAAAGAAAATAGGGAATTTTTTAAATGCTCTCTAAGAAGTCTTTTACATATGAAATACACCCAAAGATATAGAGGCAAAAATCTTTTTAAGAAAATCAGCACTATTAAATCAAAATTGCTACAGTGGCAAGCAAGACTAACCTTAGAAGGAATGCTTATAACTCATAAATAATTTCTCTTATAAATCAAGAGGTCTAACAATTCTATAAGGAAGGAAACCAACTCAGTAGAAAAGAAAATGGGTGGTTAGAACACTCACAGAAGAGAAGAAATATACCTGATTTCCTAAACACATGAAAAGATCCTAACTCTAATCATACTAAGAGAAATTTATAATATAATGAGACTTTTTTTTACAGATAGGCAAAAATAAAACATTTTATGGCATTATTTTATGAGCATGTAGAAATAAAGTCAAACTCAGTGGTGAGCTCATGCATTTTAGCTGGGAACATAAATTAGTATAACTCCTATGGAGAGTAATTTAGCTATTTCAATAAAATGTTAAAAGGCTCCTACCCTTTGACTCAACAGTTCCACTTTTAGGAATTTATCCAAGTATATTTTTGCAGTGTAAGAAATGATGTGTGCATAAAATATTCATTGTAGCATGACTGAATATAAGAAATACATTAAATATTCATCTGTTCAAAAATGATTAAATAAATTACAGACTAGTCTTCCAATTTAATGAAAACAAAGGGAGGTCTATATGTGCTAGTGTAAACCTATTCCCAAATGTTGTTTGGCAAAAAACAATCAGATTTCAGACTAATACATTTTATAATAACTTGTATATTGATTTAATTTATTTTTGTTGTTTTTATCTTTATGTTTTATTTTAATGTTTATTAACTTTAAGTAATTGTACAAAGGGGTTTTAATTTAACATGTCAGTTTATAAATACAAAGCATTGGAAGTGGTGCTGTGGCTCACAGTGCTAGAAAGCTAACCTTGAACAAAAATGCTCAAGGATAGTGCCCAGGCCTTGAGTTCAAGCCCTATGACCAACAAAAAATAAGTAAGTACAGAGCATCATATGCGTGTGTGTGTGTGCGTGTGTGTGTGTGTGTGGTGTGTGTGTGTGTGTGTGTATTCTGGCCCTGGAGCTTAACCTCAGGGTCTGGACACTGTCCTGGAGCTATTTACTAAAGGCTGGTACTCTACTACTTAAGCCACACCTCCACTTGGAGCTTTCTGTTGGTTACTTGGAGATAAGAGTCTCACACACTTTCCTAGCCAGCTGGACTTTGAACCATGATACTCAGGATTATAGGCATAAGCCACTGGCGTGCAGCTAGTATGATGCATCTTAATCCATGTCACTTAAATATCTGTTTTAGAAAAAGAAGCCTTGTTAACTAGAACATAGTAAGGTCTAAGACTGTTAGGACTTAGGGAGTCAAGAGTTGTTCTGCAAAACAGAATGACTCTTAGAAGTGAAGGGGAGAGTCAGTTTGGCCATGGAAGACTGTTAATGTCCCAGGTCCCATAAACAACAGCTCCAAAAAAGAGGCCTATACTGAGTAAGAGAGTGCACTTCAGAGTCGGACCCCGGGTGGAGACCCCTGCTCCACTGCCGGCTGGCGGCACGCACTGTGTGTTCCTGGGTGCTGGTGTGTTCCTCTTCTACTCCTGTAACAAATACCTGTGATGACCGTCTTACAGAGAGGTGAGGCTGCACCTGCAGTGTTGGAGCCCCCTTGTTTGGGGCACTTCAGAATGGCAGTGAGGATGTAACAGAGAGGAAGAGGAAGGGCTGTCACTGTCACTTTCTGGAACATTCCCTCCATGAGCAGAAGACCTCCCGTTGGGCCTGCCTCCTAAAGGTTCCACCAGTAGTGCCAGAAGCTGGGGACTGAGCTTTCAGTCCCCAGGCTGTGGGACGCTTATCAAAGACACGGCAGTGCTGGTGGTGAAGAAGGCAGGATTCTCTGAGGGCTGGGAGTAGGTGTGTGGCATTCATGACTCTTTCAATCAAAGCTCTTCTTGTGGGCCAGCAGCTCTCTGAATGGCTAGGGAGGACGTCATTGTCTCTAGAGCACAGAGAAATGGAGGGATTTGCTCAAACATGGCACGAGCAGTGAGAGGGTCGCTGGCCTGGCATCCTGAGTGTGCCAACCCAAGCCATCACAGATGACCAGAAAGAGCACCTCCTGTGGCGCTGGCATAGCGGTCAGGAGAGATCTCTGGCAGTTCAGAATCTAGGTGGCACAAAGCCACCACCATGGCTTGTTACAGTGGGCCATCTTCAGCGCCATCACATGGTGGGTTTTGTTTTTGAAAAGCACACCCTAAAAAGATAAGTTTCAAAACAAATCTACATTTAATTTTAATATGAATATGACTACAATCCGAATACTACTCTGATGAAAATATTACAACGTGAAGGCAAGTGTTACTATAGTAAAATATGGTATTACTGGAAATACCTATATATTCATACTATCACCATAGTCTGTGTTGTAGTTACTACTGGTTATTATAAAATAATAAGACAGGGTCTGGGAAGGTGGCTCAGTGGTAGAGTGCTTGCCTTGCATGCCTGAGGCCCTGAGTTCGATTCCTCAGCACCACATAAGCAAAAAGAAGAAAGCCGGAAGTGGCACTGTGGCTCAAGTGGTAGAGCGCTAGCCTTGAGCTGAAGAGCTGAGGGACAGCGCCCATGCCCAGAGTTCAGGCCCACGACCAGACCCAAAAATAAATAAATAAAATAAAATAATAAGACAGGGTAGAAACTTACAAATCTTGCTGCCTACGTGTGTTTAATGGGGTCAGTAAGCTTTAGAACAAGGTTTCTCAACTGCTACACGGTAGACATGTTGGTCTGCCTGGGTTTTTTTTTTTTAGTGGACTGTTCCGTACCGGCAGGATGTCTGTCAGTATTAGCAATCTGTCTACCGGATGCTAGGGACAATTGTGGTTCCCAAACAATGACAATAAAAAATATCCCAAAAGTTGTTAAATGTCCTAAGGAGGCCATTGAGGCCCACTGGCTTAGCAACAGCAACGAATAATACTAAGCACTAGTCAAGTACTAGATACTATTGTTCTGTTAGGTTATGAATTGCGTGAATTCCATTAAGGGAAGGATTAATGTCTTTTTTTTCCCCATTGCTTCATCCCTGATGATTAGACCAGTACTGTGCATTCTGAGAGTGGCAGCTCTTGTTGAATAATTGGATGGATTACTAGTATTTTTGAGGGTTTGCTATGTTCTAAGCACTGTCCAGATGAAAAGAATTTTCTTCCCGCCCCTAATGGCTTGATCATTTGATTCATTCAATCAAATGAACAATAGATTAACCAGAGAAAAGAGCCCAGACGGAAGACACAGGAGAGTGCTGTGAACGGAGAAGCTCAAAAAAGTGCCAGGTGACAGCCCAGAGGATGGGAAGTCTTACAGGAAGGGTAACTAATTTTAGGAGAGGGAAGTGTGCCCACTGGGGAGACAGTGACTTGAGGTAAAGTTTGCTGGCTGGAGGGTGTGCTGTGTGATTCTTCCGTGATGTGAATTGACTCTTTCTTGGTGGATGGATTATCAGTGATTGCATACAAGCCAATTGCGTTCCCTTTTTGTAGAGCCGTTAGGCAGAGGGGGGAACTTTTGAGAAGCCTTTCCCTACACTTCGAGGGAGGAGTAAGAAATGGGGGCATGGGAGGAAGGTCAGAGACACCTGTTTCTCAACATCGCAAACTGACACACGTTGGGAATATCACTTTCTTGTCCCCCAAAACATGTGAGTACGTGTGTGAGTGTGTGTGAGTGTGTGTGTGTGTGTGTGTGTGTGTGTGTGTGTGTGTGTGTGGTGTCCTTTCATTTAAGCCTCACAGCTCCACAGTTGATACATCTATTTTATAAGTGAGAAGCACAGAGAAGCTGCAAGAACTGGCTATGGCTGCACAGTCAGGGAGTGGCAAATTCAGATCTGTGTTGCTGGCCCTAGATCCTTGCCCAGCATCACTCTGCTGCTCAGACAAGGGTCGCT